CCTGGTGGCTAAAGCTCCCGCTTCACACACGGAGGGCCCGGGTTCGATTCCCGGCGGGTGGAAACATTTCGACACGTTTCCTTACACCTGTTGTCCTGTTCACCTAGCAGCAAATAGGTACCTGGGTGTTAGTCGACTGGTCTGGGTCGCATCCTGGGGGACAACATTAAGGACCCCAATGGAAATAAGTTAGACAGTCCTCGATGACGCACTGACTTTCTTGGGTTATCCTGGGTGGCTAACCCTCCGGGGTTAAAAATCCGAACGAAATCTTATCTTATCTTATCTTAAGGAATGAAATTACATAAAGTGGAAGAAATGAAGTGTGAATATTGGTCAAGATTGCACGCTGAGGAGAGCAGCGAGCGGTGAATGTCCTCAGCGGTAAGAGCAGCACATTCTTGCCTACGTGTTGTTATAGTGGTATTCCCGCCCGTCCCTAGATATAGACAGACACGAACGTAATCACAGGCGATATATCAACATTACTGATATGAAAACATGGTCATTGTACACAGTGGTGCCAGACCTACGGGAATTATCTTTGAAAACAAAATTTGTTTTCAAAAATTTATACTAATATATTTACACACACATACACACAGGACCCAGCAGCGGTCAGTGAAGAGGCTGGGCCAGGAGCTGAGTCTCGACCCCTGTAACCACAATTAGGTGAGAATTAGGCGAGTACACCCACAACCACACACACACACACACACACACACACACACACACACACACACACACACACACCAGGCCTAGTGTCTAATCGACATGTACCTAGGACAAAATGGTAACTACCTAACACACACACACACACACACACACACACACACACACACACCACACACACACACACACACACAAACACACACACACAAGAGCTGTGAATCGACCCCTGCAACTAAATATAGGTAAATATACTTACACACACACACACACACACAGAGGACCCAGTAGCGGTCAGTGAAGAGGCGGGACCAGGAGCTGTAACTCGACCCCTGCAACTACAATTAGGTGAGTGTACACACACACACACAACAGGCCTAGTGTCTAATCGACATGTACCTAGGACAAAATGGTAACTACCTAACATACACAGACAAGAGCTGTGAATCGACCACTGCAACCAAATATAGGTGAATACACACACACACACACACACACACACACACACACACACACACACGAGCTGTAACTTGACCCCTGCAACCATATATAGGTGAATACACACACAGGAAGTGGAATAATCTGGGAAGTGGTAGAGGCAGGATCCATGCATAGCTTTAAGAAGAGGTATGATAAAGTTGATGGACCAGGGAGACTAATCTAGGAGCGACCAGTGAAGAGGCGGGGTCAGGAGCTGTGACTCGACCCCTGCAACCATAACTAGGTGAGTACATACACAGAAGCTGTAACTCGACCCCTGCAACCACAGCAGCTGTGACTCGACCCCTGCAACCACAACTAGGTGAGTACACACACACACACACACACACACACACACATATACACAGGAGCTGTAACTCGACCCCTGCAACCACATATAGGTGAGTACACACACACACAGGAGCTGTAACTCGACCCCTGCAACCACATATAGGTGAGTACACACACACATATGTACAGGAGCTGTAACTCGACCCTTGCAACCACACATAGGTGAGTACACACACATATACACAGGAGCTGTAACTCGACCACTGCATCCACATATAGGTGAGTACACACACACACATATACACAGGAGCTGCAACTCGACCCCTGCAACTACATATAGGTGAGTACACACACATACACAGGAGCTGTAACTCGACCCCTGCAACCACATATAGGTGAGTACACACACATATACACAGAAGCTGTAACTCGAGCCTTGAAACCACATATAGGTGTGTACACACACACACACACACACAGACACAGACACACACACACACACAGGAGCTGTAACTCGACCCCTGCAACCACATATAGGTGAGTACACACACATATACACAGAAGCTGTAACTCGAGCCTTGAAACCACATATAGGTGTGTACACACACACACACACACAGACACAGACACACACACACACACAGGAGCTATGACTCGACCCCTGCAACCACAAATAGGTGAGTACAAATAGGTGAGTACACACCAGGGCCAGGAGCTCGGACTCGACCCCTGCAGCCTCAACTAGGTGAGTACACGTGAGCTGTAACTCGACCCCTGCAACCACATATAGGTGAGTACACACACAAACACAGCTTTCTAATAGCCTTGCCACCTTCCACGACAGAACTTTACCTATTATTCCATGAGCTGTCGCTTTTTTCAAGTCTTTTACGTGGTACTCTATCAAAGGCCTTCCTTGCTTAACACCAAATAAACATCACAGTTCTTATCTCCATAATAAAGATACCCAGGTGTGATGCACGTGTGTCTTATCCTTCAAGTACCTGGCATCACAGCAACACTGCTGCGTGCAGTGTAATTGTTTATACAGTTTTATGTTTGGTAAACACCAGGAAAATCTCTGCTTCATTATGACTTGCGATATCACGGTGAAGTTATAGTCTGTCACGAACCGTGTTTATGGACCGCCATGCACGGACCAGTGATCAGCTATAGGTGGGATCCTCTTTATTTTAATGTTTGTGAAGGGTTCCTGAGCCGAGGGACCTCCCTTTCCCTTCTGTTATGATCTGATTACCCACCTTCCTCTCTCATTTCCCAGACGCTTATGACCCTCATAGGTTTAGTCCGTCGCCTTGAGTACAAGAGTGGATGTAACAGCAGCAGTGTGGCGTGGAAGACAGTGATTGGTGCTGCTATCAAGAGACACCAACGTCAGCAGTACACCTGCCACAAGTGTCCAGAAACATATATGTAGCACTATTCTACTCAGTGCAGGTGCGTACGACAGCTTTAAAGTGTATTTATTGACTTGCCAAAAATAGGTGAATTAGAATAAAAAATTATTTGCGGTAAACTTCTCGCTGAAGATTTCCACGTTTCATTTTAGAATTACTGCAAGCCGTGTCATTCACTATATTTCAGAAAGGCTATTGACTATCCACAGGGTAGAAAACGTTCAAACCAATACCAAAATGACCTAGATTCAACACACAGGCGAGACTAGACGTTTGCATCCGTCTCCTAACACACGCCAACCCCTTTTCACTAGCAGTAAATAGGTAACCCAGAAGAATGTCAAAAATAACGTGGCCATAACCTAAAATCCAGCAGACCAGAAGGCCTGGTCTGGGACCGAGTTGCAGGGACAGAGACCATCCATAATCACCTTCATGTAACCTTAGAGTCAGTCAGCTGCAACTTTATTGAGTGTCTTGGCACTCCCTCATTACCTGAGTTTGGTGACAACACATCACAGAACCCCGACACGGGCGAAACGTGTAAGCAGGTGCCTGGGTGTTAGTCACCATACACTTGCTGTCCCTGTTCACCTAGCAGCAAGTAGGTACCTGGGTGTTAGTCAACTGGTGTGGGTCGCATCCTGGGGGACAAAATATAAAACCACAATGGAAATCAGACAGTCCCCGATGACGCACTGACTTTATTAGGTTTTATTAGGCTTATCATATCTTACAGCTAATCGATAGATTACAGTTCATAACAGGACAGAGTTCCGGTCCGTTCTGTTAAAGGCGTCGCTAGAGTTGGTGTCACCCGGGGCAGCATCTTTGGTGTCACCCCCATGAAATTCAAGGGCGGGGGATTGAGGGTGGTAAACTCCAGTTATGTCACTACTGCATGACCAGTTACGTCACTACTGCATGACCAGTTACGTCACTGCTGCATGACCAGTTACGTCACTACTGCATGACCAGTTACGTCACTACTGCATGACCAGTTACGTCACTGCTGCATGACCAGTGACAAATGTTTAGCAATGAGAATGTTTAAGGGCCATAAACTGAACAGGAGAATACTTCTCAACTTTATTAATGATAAAATAAATAATCGTAGTAATATTAAGGAAACATAAACTCAAATACCATTTTGAGTACAGTAACAGATCCTACATTTATTCATCTTAACAACGCAAAAACAAAAAAAAACTTGAAAAATAAAGAAAAACATTGCAATATCATAGAAACACTAGTTCCGATTTGACCTTAGTACAGGTAACATCTCACTGAATCTGATCTTACATTTCCTTGCCTTCAGTTATGCAAAAATCATCTATCACATCATCAAAATTCAAAATCAATGATTTTTCCCTATATAGGATTATTTGTACTTTGTTAATATATAATAGGCTATATAGAAACGAAGGATTCTTCTCTTATGTTGGTGCAGCACTGTTTTGGGCATTAGTGTCACCTTCTTTAGAGGCTCTATGGTGTCACCCCCCTAAATGGCGTCAACGGGGGCGCCCCGCCCCCCTTACGACGCCCCTGCGTTCTGTAAGTTCATTTAGGTATAGATACACATTAAAACAGCATTGCGTGGACAAGCTTGCTTACACACCTGCTGCCCTTGTCCCACTTCCACTAGAAACAGGTATACCCGTGCCTAAATCAAGGAAAAAGATTCTTGCAATGTAACTCTGAGAGTGAAGGAGTCAGCAGCAGCAGACATCAAGTATCGACCCAGAGGCGCCGTTTCTGTTGATGCAAGTTCTCTGCTCCCTCTCACCTCAGCTGCACGTTGCTGCCTAGACGTTTATGCATTTTTTGAGTATGTGCATTATTAACGTCGTTTAATATCCATAAATCTGTATTATTTACCCAATTATTTATATTCAGATGCGGCGCTGATAAAAGATCAAAGTCTCGTTGCCAAACGTCAATTTAGCAATGATAATATGCTTGATTGTTCCGTTATACATACTTATGGTTGTCAATACATATTCCTGCAGGCATATTCAAGATAGCAATTTAAATAAAGAAATCGGAGATACATAAAAGATCAATTACAGAACCCCGTAGTACAAAATACAGTACGAGAGGTTGGGATGCTGAAGCATGCGCACGGCGCTGAGGTAAACACGTGGTACTGGCAGTCAATGGAGAAGTATGGAAGGGGAGTAAAGTGCTGGTTGTGATCTGCAGTAAAGTATGCGTTTTTAATACTTACCTTGTGCTGGAAGAATACACGATGGAAAACACCGTGACGAAGGTACTGTCCCGAGATTATTTGAGTTTAAGAGAAGCAATAAAATAATTATCTGTGTGGCTTTTGAGATAATGGCAATATAAAGCCAGTACATTAGATAATTTACTTGGTAGCCACAGCAGTGATACAAGTAATATATATATAAAATAATTTAAAAAATATATTATAAATATATATATATTTATATATATATATATAATATATAAATAATATATAAATATATATATATATAAAATATATATAATATTATATATATAATTATATATATATATAATATATATATATATAATATATAATATATAATATATATATATATATATATAATATTATATATATATATATTTTATATATATATATAAAAATAAAATATATATATATATATATATATATATATATATATATTAAAATATATATATATACAAACACTGATCTCTGGCTGAAGGAATCTCGAACCTACGAACCTTGGAACAAGGTACGCAGTGCTTTACCAATCTACCCACACTGGACAATACCTTGGAGTCCAGCTTGCGCTAGACTTGTTTGTGTATGTTTCGCCTGCTCTTGCGAATTCCTTGCATTGTTAATATCTCTAGTAAGGCTAATGCATGCAGGGGATGAAAGCTGGCTGCCTTGGATCAAAGTCTAGCGCAAGCTGGACTCCAAGGTAGTCCAGTGTGGGTAGATTGGTAAAGCACTGCGTACCTTGTTCCAAGGTTCGTAGGTTCGAGTCTCCTTCAGCCAGAGATCAGTGTTTGTGTATATTTCGCCTGCTCTTACGAATTCCTTGCATTGTTAATATCTCTAGTAAGGCTGATGCATGCAGGGGATGAGATGAAAAGCTGTAAGCCTTCTCCCTGAAAGCTGGCTGCCTTGGATCAAAGTCTAGCGCAAGCTGGACTCCAAGGTATTGTCCAGTGTGGGTAGATTGGTAAAGCACTGCGTACCTTGTTCCAAGGTTCGTAGGTTCGAGTCTCCTTCAGCCAGAGATCAGTGTTTGTGTATATTTCGCCTGCTCTTGCGAATTCCTTATATATATATATATATAATATATATATATATATATATTTTATATAATATATATATATATATATATATATATAATATATATATATATATATATATATGAGTATAGCACCTAGCCGAAGCTAGGTGCTGGATCCCACACTGTCTCTCAAACATCTGTGTCACAGATGTGTGACTTTGGCCTAGAATTAGAACCGAACCCTCCAGAATAGACAAAATTATAATAATTCAACTTATGAATATATTAAAGTTAATTGCTACTGATTGATACTTAGAGTATCACTAATTATGAGTCATTTTGAAAGTAGGGAGGACTGGCGCTTAACTTTGATTTTCAGTGCAATGTTATGAATGGAAGAGTAATTGTCAGGGAATTGAATAACTAGGAATAATCATGTTTGATTGAATGAAGGGTTTCCACACTACCTTTGAAGAAACCAACTCTCCCCTAGTAGGATCCAACTTTCCCTTTGCAAGATCCAGATCTCCCTTTGTAAGATCCAACTTTCCCTTTGTAGGATCGAATTCTCTTTGTAGGATCGAGTTCTCCCTTTCTAGGATACAACTCTCCCTTTCTAGGATTCAGCTCTCCCTTTTTGGGACCTAACTCTCCCTTTCTAAAATCCAATTCTCCCTTTCTAAAATCCAACTCTTTTTATAGGATCAAAATCTCCCTTTGTAGGATCCAACTCTCCCTTTGTAGGATCCAGCTCTCCCTTTCTAGGATCCAACACCCTACCGTGTACCATGTGTCTTCTCTGGGCTACTGCTTATCAGGAATGGGGTTGAGCATCCTATGCAGGTTCTCAGAAGAGAGCGGGAGGGGAAATTCTGGGAGTTAGCACTCACGCGGTGGGAAACTGAACAATTTAGATAAAAAATACGATTATAATTTTAGAATAAGTGCAGCAGAAAAGATGGTTAGAAATAATTATAATAGTAAGTAGCACTATGACCCCAATGAATTTAGCACTTTTAATAATAATAATAATAATAATAATAATAATAATAATAATAATAATAATAATAATAATAATAACAGCAATAATAATAATAATGACAACGGAATTAATAATAATGGCAAAAGAAGAAAATAATAATATTAACAAAACATCAATAATAATAATAATGACAAAACATAATAATAATAATAATAATAATAATAATAATAGCACAGCGTTATATTCTCCCTGGTGTTGGGAGATCCATCTTGAGTTGACATTAAACTTCAGCGTCTGAATCTCTAGTTCTGTGTCAAGTCTGAACATCTGTTTCTGAGTCAGGTCTAAGGTCTGAACGTCTAGTTCTGGTGAGTCAAGTCTTAAGTCAGAACGTCTAGTTCTGGGTCAAGTCTGAAGTCAGAACGTCCAGTTCTGGGTCAAGCCTAAGGTCTGAACGTACAGTTCTAGGTCAAGTCTAAAGTCTGAATGTCTGTTAGATGACCTGGTAAAGTCTAACGTCTACGAAGACAGCGTAACTAAGGCTTTCCTCTATATAAATTAGACGCAAGTGCAACTCTTGGGTATCTTTATTTAGGAAACATTTCGCCACACAGTGGCTTCATCAGTCCATACACAGGAGAAACTTGAAGAACGGGAGGAGAATGAGGTAATCAGTCCCTCAACCTTGAGTCGATGTGGTCAGTCTATTCAAGATTGATGGACTGACCACATCGACTCAAGGTTGAGGGACTGATTACCTCATTCTCCTCCTGTTCTTCAAGTTTCTCCTGTGTATGGACTGATGAAGCCACTGTGTGGCGAAACGTTTCCTTAATAAAGATACCCAAGAGTTTCACATGCGTCTAACTTATCAACGTGTCGGTTCTGTGAACCATTCATCTACTTTCCTCTATAGCTGTCAGTTATTATCTCTCTAAATCATAAGTACGTAGCTGTGATAATGTTTTAATTTAGGGTTGACCACTTGTTATCACGTAGTTGTTATCATGGTGAATTTATACAAGATAATCCTTGAAGGTTAATTTATACAGGATTAATTTACACTGGATGGCATTCAGAATTAATTTACACGGGATTACCCTTCAGTGATAATTTACACAAGATAACTCCGCTCAGGGTTAATTTACATGGGATAAACCCCTTCAAAGTTAATTTAAATAGGATAACTTTCAAGGAAATGCTCTCAGGCCTGTGAAGAACTGTTGATCCGAGGAATTAAATCTGCCTTTCCATAGGTCAAACCAGATAACACCATAACACCACTTAACATTTAATGAAACTGCACAACACAGTAACACTACGTAACACACAGTAATACCACATAACACAATAGCACCCTATAACACACAATACACATGACAATAACACCACATAACACAATACCGTACAACTTACAGAAACGCTACATAACACACAACAAAGTATAACACATAATAACACAGCACAGTAACACCATACAACTCACAATAACGCTACATAACACAACTTCATAATATTCTGTAAACCATAACAACTGCAAAAGAAATACATGGACACTAGTCAGCAACAGAGTTTAAATGACAAGATAAAATTAAATACCTCAGTTTACAGGCGAAAATAAAAGACTTCGATTCATTGAGACAGTTGTCCACAGCATTTAAATGGCCGAGTTTATATAACTCGTATAGCCCTTGTGGCTTAGCGCTTCTTTTTGATTATAATAATAATAATAATAATAATAATAATAATAATAATAATAATAATAATAATAATAAATATAACGGTGTTAAATTATATTACTTTAAGGACGGAGTTAAGTACGTTAGTTTTTAATAATGGAGATAAAGCTAGTGTAAGGAGAAGGGTTAAATGGCTTTGTTTAAATGGCGGGTTAACGTATCTTGGTGTAAAGAACGGGGGTAAATAGCAGTTTTAGTAACGGGTTAAATATCAGTGCGTAGAATCAAACGCTGTAAAGAACGGATTTAAATGGCCATGTTTAAATAACGGTTAAATGTCGTGCTTTAAAGAACGAAGTTGAATGTCTATGACTAAATAACAGTTTAAAAGGCATTATGTAAGCACAGTTTAAAAGGCATTAAGTAAGCACATTATGAAGCTAAGGACCAGCCTTTAATAAAAGGAACTTTGATATACCATTAATAATTACGTTCATGGGAGGAACGATAAGAACGTATGGGGATGTAAACTTCAATTCCTTGGATCAAGAGCCCTTGAGCGGTATCAAGGTCCCTTGAAGGCCGAACACGTCACCCTGAGCTCAGCATCTAAGGCTAGCAGCCATTATTGCTTTCCTTCTGTCAGTGTTGCCTTCCTTCAAGGGCTCTTGATTTAAAGAATTAAAGCTGCATACTCTTCTCTGGATGAAATCTGATTACCTCACATGCCAGAGGCACTGTATGACCCTTACTGGTTTAGTGAGTCCCTTTGAATGAAATGAAATAATATTATTAATATTAATAATAATAATGACACCAATAAAAATAATAATAATAATAATAATAATAATAATAATAATACATACATACATATGTGGTATTTCATATGTGGTATTTTGCCAAGGAGAGGAGTTGGAAATGAATGGTTGTCCAGGGCAATTGGTGTCAATTGCTGGCTGGACAAATACTGTAAGGAAAATGCGGTGATATTCATTGACAACTGGGACCTCTTCTATGGCGGAAATGACATGTATGCCAGGGATGGGGTTCACTTATCTAGGTCTGGGGTGGTAGCACTGGCAACTGCAGTGGAGGGAGCAGTTAGGACTTTAAACTAGGAATAGTTAGTGGTATGGGTTTTGACAGGAAAACAGTGAAGTCCCAGTGCAGTAATATTACGAGTTATGGGGGAACTAATAAAAAAAGCCCGAACGAGGTAGATATTGAAAAGCCAGGGGCTTGGTGATAAGGACAGTAATAGGTTTAGTAGAAAAACAGAAATGAGCAGGGAAAGGGAAAGAGAAAGGAGAGTCTTTCAAAGTTTTTTATGCTAATTGCCGTAGTGCTAGGAAAAAGATGG